TTGCAAAGACTTATGGGTCGTAAGTCTGTCATCCGCGTTGGCCGCTCCGTTTTTGGAATAAGACAAATATTTGTCAAATTTAACCGTTTATCAAAGGTCCCAGACTCAATAAATTGGTTCACTTGGTGCACGACATCGTCCTTAATAATATCCAAGGATTTCTGGAAGAATAATGCAGTCATCCCATCCGGGCCCGGAGCCTTTATGGGATGCATCATAAAAAGTGCTTCCTTTACCTCTGTCTCTTACTGGTTTTAAAAGTTCCTCATTTTCTTGGTCTGTTATTTCCGAGTCTATTTCCCTTAAAATATTCTCAAATTCTGTTGGTAAGGTGGACGTAAATAGGTCTGCGAAATAATCCACTGCGACTTTCTCCACTTTCATTTCCCCAGTTACCCAAGCATCCTGGCTATCATGTAACCAAACAATTCTGTTTATAGTTCTTCGTTGTTTTGTGATAGCATGGTAGTATTTTGTATTGAGATCCCCACATTTGTTCCATATATTTCGGCTCTTATGTTGTCAAAAATCTTCCTCATCCCGGTATGCTTCCTTAAGCTCGTGGGTAGTCTCATTGAGCTCATCCTGAGTACGTGTATCATCTGTCTGTATTTCCTCAAGTTTGCGTTGGAGTTCCTCAATCTTATCTCTTCCATATAGTTTATTAATTTGGCGCCATTTGGAAATTTCCTGCCTGCAAGTTATAATTCTATCCACCAGAGATTGGGGTGTGTGATTATTTTGCACCTGCCAGCCTCGTTTTATGACATCCATTAACCCTTGCTGACCAATCCATCTTTTATTTTCGTTTGACATTTTTTGATTCGATTGTTGCTACTATAGGCCGGTGATCAGAGCCTATCATTCTCAGATATTCCACGTATGAAAATGGATGTAAATAATACCACTCCTCCGTTGCAAGACCTCTATCCAAACTACACCAGACGTTTTGCCCATTCCGTCTACCGTTCCAAGATAAAGTGTTTCCACGATTTGGGAAATCAATTAACTCACAATTGCTAATCATCGTATTAAATCCGACAAAAGACGACGCTTGCCTAATTAACCCTCCCTGCTTCTCATGATTTCCCGTTATTTCATTAAAATCGCCAATTAAAAATCATTGTCCATTTTTTGTTTGTTAATTTATAATCTAATCTTACATAAGAATTCTCTATTAGTTTTTTTATTAATATAATATTAATAATTTCATAATATTTTCTTTTAAAAATCCAGTATAAAATTTACTCTCTCCGTTTCAAAATAAGTGTCACTTTGACACTTTTTACACAAAATAAAAAAAATCATTAAAAGTTTTGTTTTACCCTTTGTTCACACCTAAAATAACATTTTTTTTATAAATAAAGCAATAAATTCAAAGGTTAAAACTAGATATTTATTCAAAATTATGCCATGAAAATATAAAGTAACACTCTTTGTGAAACAAAAATAAAACTTTAAAATGACACTTATTTTGAAACGGATAGAGTAACTTTTTTAATGAAATAAATCTTAGTTATCTTTATCAAATTTTTTATTAATATAGTGATGGGCTCACATTTGCCGTAAATAACCTTCAAGCATCACATGTCTACTGGACCCTATTCGAGCGATGACTTCTTTATCTAGAACTAAAAACCGTTATACTATATGTAAAGAAAAACAATGTCAATTTTTTTTAAAAAAAAAATACATTCCTTTTTCTTGAGCAACAAATATATATTCTTTTGCTTTTTAAATCATTTATATATTATTAAATTTAGTTTATCCAGTATAATCAAAGTCTATTATATATTAAAGTAAAAATATTGAAAACCATTTTGTTGATATGTCAACACTACAAATTTTTCATAGTTTTTATTTTATTTTTGAAATCTATTTTAAATTAATATACTAAATTAATTACCAAACATTATATTTCATCATCCATATTCATTCTTAAATAATTTTATCTATGTTATCAAATATATAAACAAACATTCCAATATTTGATTATCATATTTTACTTATTTTCACAAAATCTTAATAAAATTGATATTTAATTTTTATTATTTTGAAATAATGATTTTCGAAAATTAATATCAAAAAGGGTATTCGTTTTTGAAATGTTTTAATTAAGTAGTTTTTTACATAAAAAACCTTTTTGTATTCTCAAACTAAATAAAATTGGAAGTTATTAATTTTTTTTTATGTTTTACACCAAAAAGCTATCAATGTTTTACATCTAAAAAAACTATCAACATATCTCAAACCTTAATTTCTGTGAATATATTTTGTCCAAAATAAAATAATAAAAGTTGAAAAATAAATAAAAATCATACTTGACTTCACATATTTTATTTCTCATTTATATTTTCAACAATAATAAATTTACTTACAATTTTATTCTACATTAAAAATTAAAAATTATAATAAAAACATTTATTCCGGTTATAATCTAGTTACTATGTGAAAGCAAGTAATCACGGTAACAAAATAGTTACGGAATAAAGAGAGATATAACAGTAAACTACAAAGCATATCTTCTTGCCCTTCTTGTTTCTCTCTCTCGATGGCGATATTCATTTTATCACTTCAAGATCTTCTTCTTCTTCTATCCGATCAATCGAGTTTCATCACTTAATTAAGAAGAAGCCTGATAAGGAAAAACTCAATCAATCGAACAGTAACCGATAGATCAGAACTGATGTTCATAAAACACGAATCCGGTGTTCAAGTGCAGAGATTCCAGAGAAGAAAAATAGAATCTCAAACAGGATGAACCATTTTCTGAAAACAGAGAAGAAGATCGAAGAAGATGAAATTGAAACCTGATATTTTTTCTGATTGTCCCCGTTTTTCTTTCTTCGTTCCCTTTAAAGCCATAATTTCAACTCCTTTTAATCTCAGCTTTTCATCTCTTTTTTTTTTAATCCCAGCTGTCCATCTCATCTCTATATTTCCTATAACAAATCCTCCCTGTTCAGAAAACCTTGACATCAAGGTTTCTCAATTACATTCTTTCCTGCTCATCATCATTTCTTGTCAAGCCACTTCATTCTTCGGATAGTTGAATGTAGATTCTCCAAGCAGCAAAACGTTTGCAGATTTTTCTTCTTCCAACAATGCCACACAGAGAAGTGGATTTTCATGTCCATATGTGCAGAGGACAAGTTGAGAAGTGACCCTTGATACATTCTCAAATGTGGATGAACTTGGAACAAGAACAAATCTTCTTCTTGTAGAGATAAGATGAATCCCGTTTGTAACACTGAATGAGTTATTCCCTGTGTAGGCAAAGCTCTAGCCATGGTGGTTTCTTTGTATTTAAACCACCAGTTTTTGTATAACGTCCTCTTTTCCCAAATTGAAATCCAAATGTTGCTAACAAGCAAGTCCATATATGCGTGCATCATCATCGCCAAGCTCTGAAGTGTTCTTCTATTTTTCTTGTCTTCAACGTGACACCTATGATAAGCTTTGTCCATTATCATGAGCTGATATGTTTAGTGATTCAACACTTCCTGTTGCATCATATCAATGAAATGACATTCTGGTAAATGAGGCGGCATTTTGCATAGCTTTGATTCCTTAATTGTGTTTGGTTCTTCATCTTGAATCATGTGTGACAGTCCCTTATCTTTCACACCATTCAGTTTGATCTCCTGAACTAGTGGAGTCGTCTCACTCGCTTCTGCTTCAAAACCAATGATGGACCATGGTGCATCCTCTTTCGACAATGACAAAACATTAGATGTTTCACGTGGGGATTCTTTAGCTGTGTTTGATTCTTCCTCTTGAATCATATTTTTAACTCTCATATCTTTCACACCACTTGATTATATCGGCTGAACTGATGGATTTCTCTCACTCGCTTCAATTTTGAACTCAATCACAGACTATGGTGTATCCTCCCCATTTGGCTGCAACAAAGCATTAGATGTCTTAACAGCAATGTGTGGACCTTGTAGTTGAACCTGGGACTTCGTGGAGTTAGAACAGTCAAGATTAAAAGACTTTGGAGGGTGAGCTCTTTCATACAATCTTCCCAACATCAAGCATTGTTGCACTGTTTGTGGTTGAAACATGCGGATGTTCATCTGAATATCTATTTGTAACCCTATCAAATAGTGACTCACCAAAAGATCTTCAGGAAGATTCACTCGATTGCTAATCATCTCAAACTTGTTGTGATAATCCACAATCCCATCAGTTTCGTTTAATTGCTTCAACTTAGCTAGAGGATCAACCGAAAAATCATTAAATCTCTTCTGCAAAAATTCCTTATTCTCATTGAATCTAGGAAAATCCAGTTTCGCAAGACCAGAAACACCAGATTGAACATGAAGTTGATTGTTGCGCACCAATGTATATTCATACTGTAAATCCTCACCATCATCTAAAGATCTCCAATAAAATATATTGCTATGTTCCAGGACAGATTTTTGTACCTCCAGAAACTGTTTCGCTGTTGTAGCTTCTTCCATTGCAAGAGCCACCGGTTCGTTGATTGAAGATGTAGATCTAACTGGAGATTTTGCATCGCGATACGAATCAGAAATTCGAAGCCCTAGTGTTGGCGATGGTGGCGATGATACAATTTCCTTCGAATTTATCTGCAAGCGAATAGTCTCGAGCAGGTTAGCGATCTTCTCGTCCATTGTAGCCATTGATTCCGAGGAAAGATTAGCTCTAGTACCTTTGATAAGGAAAAACTCAATTAATCGAACAGTAACCGATAGATCCGAACCGATGTTCATAAAACACGAATCCGGTGTTCAACTGCAGAGATTCCAGAGAAGAAGAATAGAATCTTAAACAGGATGAAGCATTTTCTAAAAACAGAGAAGAAGATCGAAGAAGATAAAATTGAAACCTGATATTTTTTTTTGATTGTCCCCGTTTTTCTTTCTTCGTTCCCTTTAAAACCACAATTTCAACTCCTTTTAATCTCAGCCTTTCATCTCTTTTTTTTTGATCCCAGCCGTCCATCTCATCTCTATATTTCCTATAACAAAGCCATGGAAGATCACTCTGTTTCATCTGAAGATGATGATGACCTAATCGAACCAGCAGACGAGGTGATCATCTCATATTATCTGAAAATGATGATGAACAACGGCAAATCCTGGCCTAACCACTTCCTCCGAGACGAATATGCACACATGTACAACCTGAATCCTAACTACTTCGTCAAAACTCAGAGCCCTAACTACTTCGTCTTCGTTGCTGGAGAATCATGGCTCGTGATAAACTGATAAAATCTGAGGAGACCGGGAAGATTCTAGGGTTCAAGAAGATTCTCAAGTTCTGTGATAAGGAGAGGAAATGAGAAGAAGAAGACGAGAATCAGGGAATCTGGGTGATGGAAGAGTATAGGCTCGTCAATAAATGGAAGCAAGATCAAGTGATTTGCAAGATTCGTCTTCTGCTCCAACCCAAGGTTACTTCCTTGCTCACCAAGCAATCCTCCTTGCTGACCAAATTGATGATATCGCCGTTTTTCGGAGACGTTTGATGTCGAGGTGGGTTTCTGGGGCAACAAACGTACCAACAGATGAACTAATCACAATCTATATGAAGTTATTTCTCGATGATAATCGAAAAGATTGGCCTAGACCACCTTTCCTGCAAAGCGAGCAAGTGTACGGCATGGAGCCATGGAGGATTATGTTGCCTCTTCATACCCTTTCGTCTTATACATGGGACACTACTTCTTCGTTAACAAGATAGAGACTAGTGGTAGAACCGATGGGTGCCATGGCGGTTGCTGGAGGATGATAAGACATGATAAAGCGATCATCTCGACGAGGACGAAAGAGGTTCTTGGATTCAAGAGGTTTTACCATTTCTATCACAGCGAGAAACCAAAATTTGCAAAACCGGCTTTCAAGTCTGAAGAAGATGAGGTTAAGGTGACTTGGGTAATGGAAGAGTATAGAGTTGCTAAGAAGAGGATGCAAGTGATAGGTTATGATTACTCTTAGCTTTCCTAAAAAGGAAGAAGAAGACTCGTAGTGGCCAAAGAGAAGAATGTGAGATGCAGGGGAAGACTCTTTATGAGAAAGAGATTTCAATTAAGTTATGTACTGTTATTTTACTATTCCTTCTCATTGAATTTAAACAATGAACCCGAGTTTAGGGATCTTTATCGAAAAGATCAATCAAACATATTTTCTCTATTGTCTTCTTCCTCCTCTTCTTTTTCTTTGCTTCTTCCTCTATTTCTTCTGATTCTCTTCTTCTTTCTTCTATTCTCTTCTCATCACCCTACTATCTTCTCTTTGGTAGGTTCGGAACCTATCAATTGGTGCTTTCGTTGAGAGCTCGATGGCTCCTTTTCCGGCGGTCGTCGATACCGATTTCAGACCTATATCCTTAGAACTCGAGTTTGAACGGCGATCCTCGTTAATGCTGTAGCAACGAATAGATTGTGTGGACAGAGACATGGAATGGATTAAGGCAGCTCTTAGTTCCCTTATGCATCTCGTGTCTAAAGAAACCAGAAAAGCGATTCCAGTAGTTTTCTTTGCAGGTGAGCAGTTTCAGACTCCTACTACACCTATCCCTGAGCTAGATCGGAGCAGGAACGAAGTTTTGCAGGTATCTGTTGCTTCAGATCGAGACGAAAAGCCCACGCCACAGGAGAAATTCTTTGAACATATGGTGTGCGACTCAACTCATAACGTATCTCTCAAATCATGTATGGAACAAAGACGACAAGACAGAAGAGAGACATTGACGTTGATCCAATCTGACAATGGGGTTGAGCGATCCTTCTCGGTTATGGATAAACGACAATGAACTTTCTCCACTGCAGCTAAGACATGATTGTGTAATTCTGCCTGCCTCAAGTAAAGATGATAGCGAAGAGAAACGCTCCGCTTGTTCTGCTGGGGCTGAACGTGTATGGGAGCCTGGTGGGTTACCGATTAAGGCAGCTAGGTGTGACTGGCTAGATGAGTATCAAGGTAAAGGAGATATGTTGCAGTTTAAGCCAAAGATAAGTGGGGCGAATACAAAGACCTTATCTCTACTTATAGAAGGTATGTTGAACGTGTCCCCATGGGTGAATAATGATTGTCTTTCTGTGATCATACCATTTCTGCTAGTACTTAAGATCAAATTCCAGAGTGATGATGTCCTATCTTTCCATGATGGAATATTGGTGATCAGAAGACTGTTGAGTTCAGGGGTGTATAATCGAGTTTGGGAACCAGGGGAACATTTGACTCTACTGATTGGTTAGAGAGTGTTCTCAATATTGATTGAGTCTTGAAGATCGTAGATGCATGATATTTGGTATATTCTGGTTCTGATATTAAAGCATTGCTTGTGGAGCATTGCTTTGAGGAGCAAGAGAATTGTAGTATTCATGGAAGTTTTGATGATACTATAGCTGTAACTTTTGATCCAGGAGGAGTTTTTCAAGAGAAAGGAATCAGTGAGGTGTTGTGGTTATTGGTATGCTTGAGTGCTCATAATAAAGGCTCGAAGGCAGAAGTAACTGCGAAGTTGCTAGGCTGTTTTGATTTTATTAAGGCTCAGCTAATCCTGTTAGAGAGAGCACCCTTCAGTCCATTGTCAGGTTTCACGGCTTAGTTTAAAGAAAGAAGATGGAGAGTTGATACAGGTGTGAAACGTGATTGTCATCTTGTTGGATATAGATCTCATTCAGATGGGTTTAAAATACAGTTTAAGCTAATTAGTGATCAAGGTCTAGAGGTGCAAAGAATGTTATGGTTCAACATTTTACAGAAATTATTTATTACAAGGTTTGATGGATGCGGCGAAATCGAACTAATGTGTTTGGCTGAAGCTTTTATACTGTGACAAGCACAAGAGTTTCTCACTTATGGGGCGTTCCATTTGCAAAAGCCACCTGAGCTATCTACAATAAGGGAAGATGTCACGTTCAGAGATGGTGATGACTATTGTCACGATGAAATGCAGGCCTACAGTAAAACTCTTTGGTTCACCTTAGCGGATACAATTGTGGAGAAATATCAGAGGAAAATCCTAGATAATGAAAGGGTGACAGTGATATCAGATCCTAATGATGGCCGCTTGCTGAACTTTGTGGAAGCATGGATACACTGTGAGTGTAAAGACCAGGGGGTGACACTAAATTTTGATGATTCCAAGGGGTTTCATGGCTACTTGATGGATGAATCAACACAGGAAGCAAATAAGGTTTTAAAAGGTATGATTATTCACAAACTTGTGTGGCTGAAGCATACAGTTTTCCAGAATAATAGTGAAGACGACTTGGTGATCTTGGGGTACAAATGGCTCTTAAAACTAGGCGAGACCTTGATCAATGGGAAGGACAAAACCATGTCCTTCTACTGTGATGCTAGATGGGTGTCTATTAGCGGCACAAAGATAACTTTGAAGAGTGATATTGCTCTACAAGAAGAGATCCACTTAGTCAAACACCAAGAGTTCAAAACAGAGTATGGGATCACGGTGAATAGCAAGCTAGAAGGTTCAGCAGAGAAAAGGAGAACTCAGCAACAACTCGAGTGCTATCACAAGGAGTCTATGGTTCACACTCTTACTCAACTCTGCTTGATCGTGGCAATTGTGTCAGGAGCCATAGCAGGTGCGCAGGCGGAGTGTATGATGTTGCAGATCGAATCTTATAGGAGGTATGAATCTGACCTGGGAATGAGAGACAGTATTGCTCCTTCACGGGCATGTATGGATAAGAGAGCTAAGGTTAAGGTCATTGTTAGTAAGGTTTTTGTTGTTACTGCGAAAGCCTTTACAATGAGAATCGTTATGTTGGATCTCGCCTCATCAAAGATAGTGAATGTCGAAGAGTACCCTGCTGGGAACATGGAAGATGGCGTGTTGATAGAGAACTTAGCACTTGAAGAAAATGTGGCGCTCGTTGCTTACAAGACTTCCAACATAACATCGATCATATCACCAGGGGTAGAATCGATTACGGAACTGGAATGGTAGCTTGAGGCTTGCTTACCAGAGACAGATGCTGAGCACTCGGATGAGGGGAATGAGACAAAAGCTTGGGCACAATGGAAGAGTGTGCCGTGGTTTGAATATATAAGAGGACCTCGTGCAAGTTTGGTGAATTGGGTTTCAGATGTTAACCTTGAGGACAAGGTTGCTTTTCATGGGAGGAGTATTGATAGGTTATGGTTACTCTTAGCTTTTCATAAAAAGGAAGTGGCCAAAGAGAAGGATGTGAGATGCAGGGAAAGACTCTTTATGAGAAAGAGGTTTCAATTAAGTTATGTACTGTCGTTTTACTATTCCTTCTCATTGTATTTAAACAATGAACCCGAGTTTAGGGATCTTTATCGAAAAGATCAATCAAAACATATTTTCTTTATCGTCTTCTTCCTCCTCTTCTTCTTCTGTGCTTCTTCCTCTATTTCTTCTGATTTTCTTCTTCTTTCTTCTATTCTCTTCTCATCTCCCTACTATCTTCTCTTTGGTAGGTCCGGAACCTATCAGCAAGGTAAAGTGATTTGCAGGATTAGGGTTCTCTTCGCAGAAGCACTAGATTACTGGAATCGATTTGAAAAGGAGGATGCAAGGTAAAGTATAGGCTAGCTCAAAGGAGCTTTACTCTGGATATATTACCAGATTCTATTTCTATTTCGTTTTTCCTTTGAAATGTATACAATTGGTGATAACTGATGTTGAGCCTGTTAGTTTTATTTCTTCCGTATAGTTTTTTAATTCTCTAATCAATTTGGTGCAAGAACTATATTTTCTGCGAGAGATCAACTATATTTTCTTTTTTTGGTAAACGGTCATCAATTTATCTTAAAAATGGATGCATTGTTGTGATCAAGATTGTACAGTAAGAAGAGTTTTTGGTAGCCGGAGATTAAATAGCCTAACATGGGAACCAAACTTGGAGTAGTTCAGAACCCAAAGAGAGGTACCTTAGTTTGATATGAGGATGCTCTGTTTCTGATAGCTTTGATCAATGTGGCTTTGGAGATTTGAGTTACACTTCTGCGAGCTGAGGTCTACTGTTTGCCAAGCAATAAGTTGTCAAATTTGAGCAGCTGAGAAGTGGTCAAAAACAACAATATCAAACAACAAATCGCAACATTTGTATGTTTATAGTAAAGAACTCACAAGACGAATGTTGATGGAAACCAATAACCAGATAACCATATAGAATCAATTAACCAGGAAGCACGATATAAGAGCAAGCGACGTGTACTCATTTCAAGTTTAATTTTAAATTCACAAAATTTGAAAACTTGCCTGAATAAAGAGATGGTCTTTCGAACCCACAATCTTGTTTTGCCTCAATTCAAAACTCCGACTAAATCACATGAAAATCAAAAAGAAGCTCATATATCTTCAAAAGTCTAAAAATTTCACAAAAGCAGCAAATTTAGCTCATCATTCAATTTTAAATTCACAAAATCTGAAAACTTGCCTGAGTAAAGAGATGGTCTTTCGAACCCAGAATCTTGAAGAGCCACACAGATCTTATCTGACAACCCTTAGAGATTTCCATGAAACGGCATAGTCCACGAAAAGACGCATCAATACCCTTTCTATCTACTTCTGCTTTCAGTTAAACTCCACCGGAAATTTCACATGAAGTGGAATTCAGCGGATAAGATAGAGAAACCCAATCCAAAAACGGTTTGGGGTTTAAGCAAAATTGAGATTCTGATTCAGTGAAGAAGATGCCTTTGTTTGGTCTCTCTCTTCATTACAATTTACTTCAGTGAGGTGAGACGACAACGTATTTGGTATTTGTTGATTAAGGCTCAAACGACGACGTCTCGGTTATTTTGAAGACGAAGGTTGTTTTATATAGCGGAGAGATGAAGCTTCAGGTCACCGCGATCTTGCTTGAACATGATCTGTTCTATAGGCTCGGTTGATCATTAATGGCCGTGCGATTTGAGTGTGATTAACGGTCTACGATTCTTTTTGGAGTCTCCGCGCTGTAGAGATTTGTTATCTGGTTTGGTCTTTGACCTTTTCTTCGCAGAGGTCGCACGGTTGTCTTACACCATCTCCAATATACATTGCTATTTTTTTTTGGTCGAAGAAAATATCAAAAAAGGGGTGTAACACAAGGATTTCCTGGGAGGTCACCCATCCTAGTACTATTCTCGCCCGAGCACGTTTAACTGCACAGTTCTGATGGGATCCGGTGCATTAGTGCTGATATGATCACACCCTGCTATTTTTTCATTTAAAATAGAGAAATTCTAAAATAGAAGTGTATCCTTCTCCAATGTGTTCCTCTGTTTTTCTCTCTAAAAGAAGAATATTCTTTTTCTAATTTATTAGTATCACTTTTTGTTTCTAAAATTCATAAATTTACCTCATTTATTTTATTTTTTACAAAAACTTTCATAAAATTATAATAAAATTATAATTAAATATTTATTATACAAAATACATTCATATAAAATATAATATATTTTAATTTATAAAATTATCTACAACTAAATTTTAATAAAAAAATTATATTTAATCATATTATATGTTTTCAAAATTTTATATCATATATTTAGTTATATTATACATTGGATAGATGATTGTTCACTAAATATATAAAAATAAGTTATATAAACAGTTAGTTAAAATTTTATATTTGTTATGAAAATAAAAATAAAAATATTTAAAAGTTGAAGCACCAATTTACAAATACAAACGTTAATCTCTATTAGACTATCTATGTGATAACTCGAATTCGATCTATAGAAAGTACAAGAATCAATGAGTTTAAAGAAGGATCTTTATTAAGAAGAAGCCGGAGCTCGAAAAGGTACACGTTGATTTTAGGTCGTCGGAATAAGAACGCCGACCTAAAATATGAATGAAAGCTCGAGAATTAAGAACAATAAATTTGCTTGTTTGCCCTAGGTCTCGAGAGAGGATTTTCGGATTCTTTGAGAAGCTGATAGCTTCCTATATTTATACTCGATCAGGTCGGTCTTCTGGAGATAAATTTGTATATCCAAAACAAGAAAACTTTCTTGCTGATAAGACCTATTTTCCGACTTTTCCGGATTAGACCGATAAATGGAGAATTTTTATTTATTACACCGACCTGAATATTCTTTGGGTTTCCAAAATGGGCCGACCAGAGTTTATGTCGGGCTTTTAGAGATGGTACAAATCTCATCTCTAATAGTCTTCTCCCCCCCGAAGTTCGGCAAGTAAGGGTACATTACTTGGTGAATTTTGAGAGAATTAGCTCGGCATGAAATAAGGTCGGCCATTGCATAAGTTAGAATATAACACGTAATTTTACCTTGAGTTTTGATCGGTGATGAGATGATGGTCAGATCATTAAGTGGGCGTGAAAAGTCCCCGCCAAGAGTTCCCGCCAAAAGTAGGCTAGGCTAGACTAGGTCTGCGCATGCTAAATGATATATCCTGGTTTTATGGGTTTTTGACCATGATATAAGTTCTGTTTATAGAGTCTTTTTGGTATTTTTCGAGTCCTTTCGAGTCTTTGCAGGTCTAGGTACGTTTGGAGCATAATTGTGGATTTTGGAACCTTTCGGAGCTATGTTGAAGCTGATGCTGAAAAGACCAAGTCGGAGAGCATATTGGAGCAGGGTGTCGATCGACACCACTCCTTGGTGTCGATCGACACCAATCGTGGACACCAATCGTGGATACAAGGAAGTCGCGTGTTTCAGCACTTATTGAAGAATTGCAACTTGACCCAGAAGTTTCCTATTATTTGCAAACTTGCCCAACTCGTGTTTAGAGATGTATTAAGGTTTTGAGAGTCATTGTTAGGCATTATCTTGTTTTCATTGAGACTAAGGGAGATATTAGATTCAGAGCTTTTGGGGACAAATCCGTACTCTGTTAGAGAAGAATTTCAAACCCCCTTTGTCTTTTACTCTATCTTTTTATGCAAAATTATTTAGTCATGATTTGTGCTTCAATTGCTATGTCTGAGTAATTTGCTAGTTAGGTTTTGGATTATTCAAAGGTTGATAATAAATTGTTAGAACTGAAATACTGGAAGGATAAATCATTTGGTTCTTCATCTAGATTGCTTTAACACTGATTTTAAGATTGATCACCTAGAAATCATATCTTAGGTTGCTTAATAGATGTGGAAACATTATTAATCACCAGAGCTATCATAGATGAATGAAATAACTAATTGCAAAGGAATTTGGATTAGTGATTTTGTGAACATATCGAACTTGAACTATAATGCTTGCTCAGGTTGTTAGAATTTGCAAAGGAATTTGGAATTCTAGAATCTGATCATAGATAATCTCTGCGACGAAAGTTGATTTGGTTTTACATTCGGGTTTTCGAATTCTAGAACGGTTTTAATAAATTATCCTTGCAGTCTGTAGTCTGCGATTTATGTCAACCTGCGAATTTCCCATTGCCTAGTGCTTCGTCTCATTGATTTTAAGAACTTACAATCCGCAACTGCTCTTGTTAATTTAATTTGCCACTTCGTTTTACTTGTTATTGATTTGCTTAGCTACATTTGAACCTAAAATCTTTTGTGTAATATTCTTAAGTCCTTGTGGATTCGACCCCTAAGTACCACGGTGATCTCTTAATTTGAGATAGTACCTCTAAGGGATAATTTGAGCATATCAAATATTGGCACCGTTGCCGGGGAGTTAGTTATTATTTTCGGATTTTTAGTTTTAGAATTTTGACTAAGCTTTTACTTTCTGTTCGCTAACTTTCTGTTACGTCTCTGCTGTCTGTTTTTGGTTTATGCATAATCGCAGTACCAGAAGCAACAAAGACAAAGAGCTTGTGACTTTAGGCATCGACGAACTCGCCAAGTTGTAAAGAACCATCAGAAAAGCCAAGAAGCAAACTAAGATGGTTGGACCAATTGTTTTGAGGACAGATGCTGAGGGTCATTTGGTTGATAGAGAAGGAAACAGAAGGAATGAGGAAAGGCAGAGGATAGATGAGAATGGCGCTGTAATTGAGGAACAAGCTGTGCCACCAGTTGCGCATAATGTGCAACAACAAGCTGTTGGGAGATGCTGCTGGGCGTTTTCAATAGAGGACCCTTGGAGATTACAACAGGCCTGATCAATTCTATGCAAATAGAGCTGCAATCTGCCCTCCTGCCTTTCAGAGAAATGACTTCGAACTCAAGCCTACCTACTACCGGCTTGTGGGTCAGCACCCTTTCCATGGGCTTCCACATGAGTATCCTATAGACCACATAGAGAGGTTTGAGGATCTGGCTACTAGTGTTAAAGCCAATGAAGTCAGCAATGATTTCTTATTCTGCAAGCTATTTTCCTACTCTTTGGGAGGAGATGCAGCTCAATAGCTGAAACAACTAGAGCCTGGCTCTTTGACCACTTGGGAGGACACCAAGAACGATTTTCTCAACAACTTTTATGATGATGCAAGATCAGAAGAGTTGAGGACGAAAATTGATTCTTTCTCTCAAGGTCCTACTGAAGCTTTCAAGACAGCATGGCTGAGGTTTAAGTTATATCAAAGAGACTGCCCACATCATGGTTATAATAAAGTGCAATTGTTGGGTATCTTCTTCAGAGGCATTGATTGGAGGTACCAGATGGCTTTGG